AAGCTCAGTGATTAATAAAGAAAGCAAATGGAATGTTGGCCTTTATTTCAAAAGGAACAAAAAGTAGAGAGATCTTGCCACAACTATACAAGGCATGAGTCAGAACACAGCTGGAGTACTGTGAACACTTTTGGCCCCCTTACGTAAACAAAAATGTACTGGCATTGGATGTGGTCAGAAAAGCATGATGCCAGGTCAATAGGGACTGTCTTATGAGAAAAAGTTGTGTAGGTTAGGTCTGTACTTGCAGGATTTTAGAAGACTTAGAGGTGACCTTATTCTTAAGGCACTAGACAGAGTAGATGCAGAGAGGTTGCATCCCCTCATGGGAAAGTCTAGGACCAGAGGGCGTAATCTCAGAACAAGCGGTTGCACATTTAAGTCAGAAATGAGGAGGTATTTCTTTACTGAAAGGGTGATGAATCTGTGGCCTTCTTTACCACAAAAGACTGTCAAGGATGGATCTTTAAGTATATTCAAGGCTGAGACAGAGAGATTTTTGATCAGTAAGAAAAGCCAGGTTTATGGTGAAAATGCAGGAAAGTGGAGTTGTGCATTATCAGATCAGCCATGATCTTATTGAATGACAGAGCAGATTCAATGAGCGAAATTACCTTCCTCTGTTACTATGTTTTATGGTCTTATAGAATGGCTTGCTAGGCCATTTCAAAGGGCAGATAAGAGTCACCTGAATTGCTGTAAGCTTGGAGCCATATATGGACCAGATCAGGTGAGGACTGTGGTTCTGATTCTCTTCCTCCTGAAAAAAACATTGAGATTCACAGTCCCATGAAAATTCCAAGATCTAAATTGGTAGATTTGTGTTAGGCCAGGGTAGTAAGTGATGCAGAATGAAGTTAAAATAAAATGAAATAAATGGAGTTGTATGTTGTATATAAACTGTAATATAAGTCAATGATGGGGCAGGCTTGTGACAGTGAACTGCCTACTCCTGCCATAATGAATATTGGGGAAAGACCAGCATTGGCTACATTGTGTTTCTTTGTCCAATCAAATAGCCAAACTGTGCAAGCTCAGATTTTCTGACTGTTCATATTCCAATTTGTAAACATAGCAAAGTGGAACTTCGCCTGTTGACTGCACTCGTACTGACTCTATCAGAGTTCCCTGTGGTGACGTAATGGAGGGCAGGCTCCAAGAATTGTAAGCATATTTCACAGGGATTTTACTTGTCAAGAGGCAGCACACTGCTATAAAATTTAAATGTTAAAATGCCCAGGACAATTAAAAAAAAAATCTTGGAAAGTTGGAGCTGGTGAATGATTAAAAAAAGCATTTGTTTCTTGTGTAGTTGAGCACCCTGGTTGAATGGGCTTTATTATGAAGAAGTTCAACAAGACCACCTGGAAGAGTGTAGACCAATCATCTACCATGGCTGCATCGGGTAGCCTTAATCTTGAAGGGCCAGTGGAAATTGAGGGGGGAAATGGGGGTGATTGCCCTTGACAGCAACAGTTGATTGAATGTTGCATCAAGGAATGCTAACAGAACTGGGGAGAACTCATTGCGGTCACACACAGCACAGAGGGAACATTGTTGTGATAGTCAACATCATCTTGGGCCCAGGATATCATTGCAGGAGTTCCTCAAGGTAGTGTCCTAGACCCAGCCGTTGTCAGCTGCTTAAGCATAATGTCCATCCATCATTCAGTTATTCCCTACAATTATTCAAAAAGCATGCAAGGGAAAGGGCAAATAATTATAGGCCAGTCAGTCTGATCTTGATTATGAGTAAATTAGTGGAATAAATATTGAGAGATAGGATTAAGTATGATTTGGAGAGGCGTGGTTTCAGAGAAGGTCATATCTTTTGAATTGAATTTTCTGAGGAAATAACAAGGAACATAAATAAAGTTAGTACCTGGATGCTGTTGACATGGATTTTAGTAGTACATTAGACAAGGTCCCACATGGCAAACTACTAAGAAAAATCAAATCCCCTGAGATAACGGGGAAAGTGGCAAGTTGGATCCAAAACTGGCTGACTTGCTGGAAACAAAGAGCAATGGTTGACAGATATTTTTGTGAATGGAAAGCAGTTTCCAGTGGGGTTCCACAGGTCTCAGTTTTGGATCCCTTAATTGTAGTATATATTGATGATTTAGATTGAAATGTGGGAGGCATGGTTGGGAATTATGCAGACAATGCAAAAATTGGCCATGTCAGCGATAGTGAAGAGAATGGCTGTTGACTGCTGGATGATATCAACAGTTTCATTGAGTGGGCAGAAGAGTGGCAAATAAAATACAATCTGGTGAATTGTGAGGATGTACTTATGGGGAGGGCAAACAAAAGAAGGGAATACATAATAACAGAGAGGATACTTGGAGGGGGCGGAGGAAGTTAGAGACTTTGGGAGTGCATATTCATTGGTCTCTGAAGGTGGCAGGACAAGTAGAAAAGGTAGTAAAGGAAAGCATATGAGATGCATTCCTTCATTAGATGAGGTAAGAGCAAACATGCAATGCTGTAACCATATAAGACAGTTAGGCCACAGCTGGATCTTTTCGTACAGTTCTGGTCACTAAATTACAGTAAGGATTTAATTGCTGTTGAGAAAGCACAGAGGATACATAGAAGAATTTTGAAAATTACAGCGATAAGGAAAGGTTGAATAGCCTCTGCTTATTTCCCTTAAAACAGAGAAAGCTGAGGGGAGACTTAAATGAGAAGTAAAAGGTAAAGTTGCCATGGTCTTACCAGACCACAGGGCTGCCCTCTCATTAAAGAGAGACCACGGATGATGTTTTAACCTGAGGATCAGCATACCTCAGGCGAGGGGAAAGGTTGAAAACGAGAGTCCTTTTTAGTAACCTCAGCCAATGTGGGAATTGAGCCCAAGGTTTTCATTGCAAACTAGCCATTCAACCAACTGACCCCCTTATTGAGGTGTACAAAATTACGAGGGGCTTGGATAGAGTGGACAGGGAAGACGGTTGGTGGGGGTGGGGGGGGGGGGGGGGGGAGGGAGGGGGTGTGGTGTGGGTTTGAGGAAAATCTTTTTCTCTCAAAGACTGGTCTGTGAACTCCAGATATTCACCAATTTGGTGGTTGAGGCAGAAACCTCAACTTTGTTAAAATGAAACTAGATCGGCACCTGAAACACTGTAACCTGCAAGGTAATGGACCAGGTGCTGGTACATGGGATTGGAATAGGTTGCCAATTTATTCAGCTGGTGCAGACATGGGATGAATGGTCTCTCTCTGCTGTAATTTCTCAATGGTTTTAGAAGGTCAAAGGTGTGGATGTTCACTAATGGTTGGAATAATTTTCGTCACCGTTTATGACTGCAGAAACTGAAGAGTCCGTGTTCAAATGCAACAACACCTGGACAACACTTAGCCTTAGGACTGGTAGGTGGCAAGTACCAGTCACATCACACAAGAGCCAGACAATGGTCATCTCCAACAAGAGAGCATCCAATCATTGACCCTTGACATTAAATGGTACTACCATTTCAGATCCCTACACTATCAAAATTTTGTTGACAGTCCTCTCCTGCCTCTACAATACTTGTCCACTACCTTCAACACAGGAATCAGAAGCAATTCTCTTCACTCCAATGATATTCAAGAAACTTGACAGCATTCAGCCCAAAGCAGCCCACTTGATTGTCACCACATCCACCACTTTCAACATTCACTTTCTCCTTAACAGGAGCACAGTTATAGCATTGAGCACCATTTACAGAGGTACTGCAGTGACTCACCAAGGTTCTTTTGACAGTACCTTCCAAACCTGTGACTTCCACCACATAGAAGAACGTGATGAGCAGATAAGTGGGAACACCTCCACTTGCAAGTTTTCCTCCAAGCTACTCACCGTCCTGATTTGGAACTATATTATCGTTCTTCCACTGTCACAGGATCAAGTTCTGGAACTCGTTTGCTAGTAGTGTTGTTAGTGTCCCTGCTCCAGTACTGCTGCAGTTCAGGAATGCACCTTCCCAACAACCTGGAAATTATGGATGCATAATAAATGCATGCCACATCACATGATTGAATTATTAAAACAAACCCCTTTTCGTAAATTTGTAGTCAAGGTCCTTTGGTATTTTTTTCATTTCAAAGTGGAATATTTCGCCATTGTGGAAATTGATGCACAGCAAGTGAGAGAGAAATGTTAATCCCTGTGAGAACAGTGGGAATGAGGATTAATTTCACTAGTTAGTTCTGCGGAACAGGGCTTTTTGAATTTAGTTTTTGAAAACGCTCATCTCTGATGAAACCTGGTTTCTTAATTCACAAAGGATGATTGACTGTATCAAGAAGTTAAAGACGGCCATTTTCAGCTTGGACGTAGATATTTGCTGATTGTTACTAGTCAGCTCTAGTTTCTTATGAAAAAAACCTTTGTTATTCATCATATCTATGCCCCTTATGATTTTATAAACCTCCGTAAGGTCACCCCTCAACCTCCTATGCTCCGTGGAAAAAGCCCAGCCTATCCAGCCTCTTCTTATAACTCAAACCCTCCAGTCCGGGCAACATCCTGGTAAATCTTCTCTGAATCATCTCCAATTTATTAGTTTACTTCCTATAGCAGGGCGACCAGGACTGTACACTAATCCAAAAGTGGCCTCACCAACATCCTGTACAACCTCGACATGATATCCCCACTCCTGTTCAGAGATGTTATTACACATCTCTGCAGCAGGTGGATTTGAACCCAGGCCTCTTAGGTGACATGTAAAGACACTATCACTACTTTTCGTTAACACATATTTTGTGAAGTAAGTATGATTCAGGACTTCTTTTCTACTTTAATACTTATTATCATTCATGAAATGTCTTGTGGTTACAAAAGCAACAGTAAAACTGGATCAAATCCATTTTCAAATGCATCTAATTATAATTCAGCATTTTGGTGGTGAAATTTACAGTGAATTTTAAGGATGTCATTCATATAAAATCAGGGTAATACTTCCTTACTTTGGATTTTTGTAACTAATTTTCACTGTCATTTCTTCTTGTTTTAGAATCTCGCCCGTTCTCTGTCCCAATAAAAGTAATGCAAAGCTCTGAGGAATGGAGTAGCCCAGAGGAAAGAATGAAAGAATTCATTGGATTAGTATGGGATGGAGTGAAACGTCTAACGCTTCAGGTAGGTTGTATCACTGCTAGGTACTTTTATTTCTTTAACAACTTAAAACTTGTATTCAGTAACCTACATAACCTACAATCAGTAACCTGATTAGCAAATTTGCAGATGACACTAAGATTGGTGGAGTAGCAGATAGTGAAGGGGACTGTCGGAGGATACAGCAGAATATAGATAGATTGGAGAGTTGGGCGGAGAAATTGCAGGTGGAGTTCAATCCAGGTAAATGCGAGGTGATGCATTTTGGAAGATCCAATTCAAGAGCAAACTATGTGGTAAATGGAAAAGCCCTGGGGAAAATTGATGCACAGAGAGATCTGGGTGTTCAGGTTCATTGTACCCTGAAGGTGGCAACGCAGGTCGATAGAGTGGTCAAGAAGGCATACGGCATGCTTTCATTCATCGGACGGGGTATTGAGTACAAGAGTTGGCAGGTCTTGTTACAGTTGAATAGGACTTTGGTTCGACCACATTTGGAATACTGCGTATAGTTCTGGTCGCCACATTACCAAAAGGATGCTTTGGAGAGGGTGCAGAGGAGGTTCACCAGGATGTTGCCTGGTATGGAGGGCGCTATCTATGAAGAGAGGTTGAGTAGATTATGATTATTTACATTAAAAAGACGGAGGTTGAGGGGGGACCTGATTGAGGTCTACAAAATCATGAGACGTATAGACAGGGTGGATAGCAAGAAGCTTTTTCCCAGAGTGGGGGATTCAATTACTAGGGGTCACGATTTCAAGGTGAGAGGGGAGACGTTTAAGGGAGATAGGCATGGAAAGTTCTTTACGCAGAGGGTGGTGGGTGCCTGGAACGCGTTGCCAGCGGAGGTGGTAGAGGCGGGCACGATAGTGTCATTTAAGATGTATCTAGACAGATACATGAATGGGCAGGGAGCAGAGGGATACAGATCCTTGGAAAATAGGCGACAGGTTTAGATAGAGGATCTGGATCGGTGCAGGCTTGGAGGGCCAAAGGGCCTGTTCCTGTGCTGTAATTTTCTTTGTTCTTTGTTCTACATTAACCCCTGGTCCAACAATGCCTTGGTTTTTAAATTTAGTTCCCTCTGTAGCTCTCACCCCTTCTCCAGCCTTTTGGCCATCCCAGATCCCATACTTCTCTTCCAATTTTGGCTTCTCTCACTGCTATTGGCAGTTGTGCTATCCAGTCCTTTACCCCCCTGAATCTCTCTACCTCTCCTTTCTCCTTTAAAATTCTGTTAAAACCTCTGCCCTTGACCAAGTGTCTCATAACCTGTCTTAATGTCCCTTATTGTGGCACTGGACAAGACATTTTAGTTTAATAACTCACCTTTGAAGCCTTCAGTGCATTTTACCTTTTACTTTATTAAGGGAGTTTCCGGGGAGGCTAGCAATCCAAAATCCCAGGTTCATGTTTCAGGGAGATGGGTTCGAATCCCAACATGGCAGCTAATGAGATGTGAATCTAATTCTAAAACTCTGGAATAAATAGCTAGCCTAATGGTGATGATGTAACCACTGTCAATTGTTGTATACACCTACCTGGTTCATTGGTGCCCTTTAGGAAGGGAAATCTGCCATCCTTACCTGGCCTGCTCGACATGTAACTCCAGACCTGCATTAATGTGATTATCTCTTAACTGCCCTCTGGGCAATTAAGGTTGGGCAATAAATGCTGGCCTAGCCAGCAATGCCCACATGCCATTAACGCATATAAAGAAAAGATGAGTGGTTATTGGTACTGAAAATTTTGTTTGTCAAAAAGAAAGCTTGGGTTATCTTGAAATATTTGACATTCAAAAGTTATTGTTGTATTCTTGTAAACATCAGTTGAATCCCTAAAAGCACATCAAATGCTGAGGAATTCAGCAGGTCTGGCAGCATCTGCAGTGAGAGAAAGATTTAACGTTTTGAGTCCAAGATGACTGCTGTCTTTCAGAGCTGAAGTATTCTTTCAGATTTCCAGCATCTGCAGTATTTTACTTTGACTTGAGTTTAATACCCATCGATTTCAGCATTTTGAACTATAAGAGTACTGTAATGACATGGAGGCAGACAACCAAATTGATTCAGTCTATCACTATAAGCCTATACTGTATTTGCAATACTGTAAAATTAAAATACATAATGACCATCAAGATTGCCCCAATGGAACTTGAGGTTCTTCAATCTTTGGAGCTATAATTTTTGGAGTTTTAAATCTGATTTGATTTTTGGATTATGCGCATCCATTTTTCAAGATAATGCAAACAGAAGTGCAGTTTTTGTTAAAAAGCTGACCTCTCAATGGTTATACAGCTAGCCACTGAAAACGTATAAAACCTGCAATAAAACAGAAATTGCTGAAGGTCCAGTGACTGGACCCAAAATGTTAACTCTGCTTTCTCTCCACAAGGTAACAGAAGTATTTATCTGTAAATTTAACATCTACTAATTGTCCTGTCAATGTTTAATGCCATCATTGACATGGATCAGGTTACATACTGACACCTTTATTTAAATTGTATTCATTCCAAATGTGGACACATTAAATAAATGTAAAGCTAAATCCTATGGACTAGGAATTCGATGGGACCGTCGTTTGGTGATATTTGAATAGCAGGAAAAGTCTTTTTTGAAGGAGAAATTTCACCATGCGGCAGTATCTACGAAACATTTTCCATTCTTTAATATCTTGCTGATACACTCATTACCAATAATTGTATGACAATTATAAGACAATGGTATTCTGAGTTTGTTGGTTAACTGGGTTTACTGGATGCTGGTATTTGCTTTACTCTATTGTCACAGTAGTGAGATTCGCCCTTTTGTTGTGATACGCCCTGAATGTATCAGTGCAGTCATGACAATAGTGCTGATTTCGGGATTAGACATTAATTGGGGCCCCATGTGCCCTCTTGAGTGTATGTTAAAGGCCCCGTGGGAGTATGCAAAAAAGACCATTTAAGTCCATTTAAATCTTGCCTAGCAATTATGCTTTAAGCAACAGCACCAAAAAGCAAATAATAGCAACTTAGGAGCAAGAGTAGGACATTAGACACTTGAGTATGCCCCACTGTTCAATAAGATTATGGCTGTTATGGTCTCAGCTCCACTTTGCTGTCGCTTCCCATAACCCTTGACTCTTTTGTCTGTAAGTAATCCATCTCACTCATCTTGAATAAATTCAATGACTGAGCCGCCACTGCATTCTTGGGTGGAGAATTCCACAGACTGTTGACCTTCTGAGAGAAAAATATTTCATATTTAAATGGAAATCTCTTATTCAGAAATGCAGTTTAACTCTTGGAGCAGCATTAATTGTTGTAAGAGGAGACTTCCGGTCTTTGTTCAGGGGAAGAGCTGTGGTCAGGCAGATTGACAGCTCTGACTAGCGCCGGCTGATGGGGTGGTTTGTTAGAAGCACAGGCAGTCCCCAGTATTGAGGAACAGCGTAGAACCAGATTCCAGAGGCCATGTTGAGGGTTTAAGAGATAAAGACCTTGCTGGAGTGTGTGAGCGAGTGGGGATGGGGGTCCTATGATGGAACTAGTCGACCCGAAAAGAATCTCTCCCTCATCCATCACTAGGCTGAACTGCATAGTTGGTGTTCCTTCCTCCACCTAGAGTGAAATGCAGGCAGTGGTGGTATGATGTCCTTAAGTGACCATTAATGGCCTGCTTAAGGGCCTCAACAGGAAACAGGCCACAGTCACCCATACCTATTCTGTAAGATTTCAAGTAGTTTGCAGGAGGGTGCATTGATGGCAGACTGTCCACTCACTGGCCATTTTGAATGTTCTGCCTTCAAACCCAACTGGAGTTGAGCCGAGCTGCACTTGTGATGACACCATTAAGCAGATTTGTACTAAAATTCTCAACTGGCCTGATATCCCATCTGCACTGTCATGGACATTCAACTTGTCCAAACTACAACTTACTTTGAGTAGTGGCAGTGCTAGTTTCTGTGTGACATATCAGTTGATCCAATTGACCTATCATGCTATGTTAAGAAAATCCAGAATTGGGTTAGGCTTTAGTGAACGTTGGATTAAGGGACCTCAGCATCCACACAAGACATTGGGTAGTGATGCCGTCAGTTTGCTTTGAAGTTTTTGACAACCAATTTTAAAATTACGAGATGTTTGTCATTATTTCAGATATGGCATTTCCTTTTTTTTTGTGTGTGAAAAACTGAAGACCAATGTTAACTTGTCCAGCTGTGGAAATGAAAGGTTCTTTTCCTTTAGCTTTTCTTGGTTTCAGTGAATTCAGTCACAATCCAGCCACATGAACAAACCTTGGATTGGCTGTTTGAAACAACCTGTGGACTTTGTTTTTGTTTAACGCCGATGGTGGACTATTCAGCCAGTTCTTTCTGTGCAATGATTAACTTCCTTTCTGGCCGGCGACTGAAAATAGAAAGACCTCTCTGCGTTTCAGTAGCAATGTTTATATTGCTGCCAGGGACACCATTGCCTCCAGAGATGTTAGCAGAAACCAACTCTTGAAATTGGCTTTGGACCCTCCGGAGGCTGTGGACGCAGCTCAGTTACTTGACTGTACGGCCACTGGTGGGATTACTGGCAGGAGCAGCAGCAGTGCTGTTAGGTAACTGCAGCATATAATTTGGACTCCATGCGATTTCAATCAAACTCGTAAGGAACTTCCTCTCATCATGCAATGAGCTCACTTTCACAAAACGTACTTACTTGTTGTGTTCGCCCAATTATTAACTAAATTGCCATACCTAAAATTCATAAGCACATATTACAAGTGCTAATTTTTATGCATACAATTTATAGCAATGGAGAAAAGATAAGTGACCATTTTCGGTTTAAAGTGAGAAATGTTGCACATAGTTTAATTTGTTCTGAAAAATGTAAGTTCTACAAATTCTGTTCACATTTTGAATACTTCGGAAGAAGGGGTATAACCATTAATATTTCATAGTCCAGCTTTTACATTTATGTTCCTGAGCCTAAATATTCATTCTTTTGTAACGTATCAGGTAGGGGAAAGTTTTCTTCCTCAGAAATTTGA